AACAAAAGCTCAAATAAAGTAACTGAAAAGAAAAACTCCATTTACATATGAATTTCCATATTTCATCAGAAACATTTTTATTATTAAGCATGAAGAAAATACCAATTTAAAACTTAAATCCTCTCCAAAATTAACACATTTCAAAAACCCCTCTCGGTTACATCGATTGACCCAACAAAAATTTCCAAAAGAACACAGCAGAGCTGCATAATGTAGTATTTGGAGAAAACACCCATAAAAACAAATGCTGGAGAGTTCTGTTAAACAAAAACAAATTTCTATGTTATCTGAAGCAGTCAACCTTAACCATTTGTCCTTGGGCTTACCCACTCAGAAAAATTATCAATGGAAAGACATTGACAAAAATAACACTATTTCTGGACTGAAATCTTTCAGAAGAAGTATTTTCTTTAAAGCATGGATAAAAGATTTGAGTCACACTGTCACACCGTGCCTTCATCAATTTATAAATCGCAAGCCCTGGGCACACGCTACATTTCAACTGTATCATTTGAGGCTGCCATACCGACAGGCCATCGGGCACTGCACCAATTCTCCTCTCCAAGAAACTTTCAGCAGCTACTGGAATTTTTGACCAGCATGGTACCTCATAAAGAAAAGAAATTAGAGGGTTTTAATAGCCATACTGCCAGGAAATGTTGCAGACGGAGGAAGAGAGACAATCACTTCCTGGATGGAAAAGCTGGGCTGTACTAACGCTGCGCGAAGCCGGACAAAGCTCAGAACACCGGGACAATACACGTACTCCCACTCCTCATTTATTACATTATTTTGCTACTGTTCTTGGCTTTTCTCAAGCTCCATATAGTTCAACATAACTCTGTGCAATCTAAGGATTTTTGACATCCATTCTAGTTCTGAAACCTTCTGGCAGCCTTTAAAAAACTCTATTAACACTATGTCGTTGTAGGTATTCCTCACAACCATGTATTTTTAAGCAGCAGCCACTAAACATAGAGAAAATATCAAAAAGCCGAAACACTACACCGCTCTAACAGAAAGCCAGGAAGGTCTCATCCACTACCCCACAGCAGCTACCTCCTGCAGTCCCATATGCTCCTATCATGGGAACAGCGTGGAAGATTTCCAAATCCCATAGCAGGGAATGTCACAGACCAGATAGGAAACACAAGGCTTGTCCAGGGAAAAGGCAGAGGACATAGGACAAAAACCTATATGAAACTACGCTTGTTTAGCTCTGCTTTTCATGGGATGATTTACTGAAATACAATATGCATGCATAAAACTGCTGTTTCCCCCAAAACAGTTTACATCTGACAAATTCGGAATGACTTCCTTTCAAAAGAAGTTTTCTCCTGTTAGTTTTTGCTGTAGCTTAAACTTCTTACTTGGACATCTAAAAATCAGCCTGTTGTTCCTCTGTATCTCAACTGTTCATACAAATTATTCATTGCACAGCACCGCACACCTTTCATTTTCTTCCTTATCTACCCTGCAATTAGCTAGTATATAACGAAGCACCGTAACAGCAGATCAGAGTAAATAATATGAGAAGAACTGAGAACACAATCCAGCTTCCATGAAGATGTACTTATGCAAAATACCAAGAGCAGTAGACAGTACTGTAACTTCTGAATTCAACATTTTGTAGTTTTCCAAGAAACATCAGCAAGCCTTCAAAAATCACATACCCAGAAAAGCGTGTTGGAAGATTTCCACACACATCATTCCTCGTACGTTTAATAAAGAGACAGAAAGCAAAATGAGACTCTGAGAGGCACTGCATTTCTGTCCTGGGAGCTAGTAACTGGGGTTGGTTCCTGATTTATGGCAAGTCTTCTTGAAAACTTCTGCTTCATTTCCCTAATAAGAATTTTTAAAACTTGGAAACAACAGTCTGGCATAAAAAAAGGCATGAGCTCTCCCAATAAATCAACGTTAAGTTTAATAGAAAAGACAACTTATTATTGAATATAAATCTGACAACTGTAACAAAGCCTCCAGCCTCCCTAACGCAGCTATATGGACAGATTATCACTGCATCTTCTCAGCAGCCAGCGTACAGTGCTGCACGCCACACACAATTCCACGTCGCAGTCAAGGCAGGCCATGGTGTGCAGCTGTGAATTCACCTGGTACGCTGCAACTACACGACTCCACCACACGATGACACAGAAGGAAGCTCCTCTGTCCAAGCTGTCCTTGTTTTCATCACATGGCCACCTGAGCATATTTCAAACTGACAAATCTTTGGAAATTAATTTAGTTTTTAAAGCACAAATAGCACAAAGCAATCAAACTGTGTGACTTTATAATGCACAGTTCATACACGTTACTGTGTGCACTGCTGTAAACCAAATTTTGATTATGTTAAATCTGCATCAAACTAAATTATCAGGAAAACTGTAAACAAAATTCCCTACAGAGTGGAAAAGATCAAACGCTAAGGTATTTACTGAAAAAAGAATCAGTCTGCCTTACTGGCAGTGTAGCACCATCTGGCTGACAGGATTTTGCCAACTGCAATGTTTTTGTTAGAGTGGCAAACCCAGGATTATTGTAGCAGCAGAAGGAGGAGGTTGAAGAATCTCATTCACATGCAGAATCTGAAACATCACTATCCAAAATATTAACTCTTGTTGGCAGCTAACATCTGCAACATAAGGGGAAGAGGGAACAATACAGAGAGTTGATACAATAGAACAGTCCGTGCAGGTTTTAATTGGAAATTATCAACAAGTGATAAAGATTTTTATGAATGAGAGAGAGGGGATTCAGCGAAGCACTCTATCACTGTGAAACTGACGTGCTACTAATGCCAAGTTAAACACATGCACCCCTAATTATTTTATTTTGAGTCACACAGGCTGCAGACTACTAAAAGAACAAAAAACCCTCAGTGCTTTATTGGCAAGATGCATTTGATAATGTGCAGCTTCATACCAACACTAACAAATAGCTGGGGTGGAGAATTCTACAGTCTTCAAGACTCCTATCTGAATTATGCTCAGACTGTCTGAGAAGCTGTCATGATAAATTTGTACACCCAAAAGAAAAGATTAAACACCAAGCTCACCAACGCACAGGACAGATTTCTGATGGTTACAGAGTTTAAAAAAAATAACCTCAGTTCATATGCTCAAAATAGTACAATTTACAGATGAAAGCATCCAAGGAACATTAACGGATCCCCAAAGGGGCCATCTATTTCTGAAAATGTTTCTGAAGTCTTTTGTGCACAAACCACAGTAAGAAATTCAGCTTATGCACAAGAACTTGAAGATCTCCAGTGCAATGAAAAAAAAAATACTGAAAGAAGGTTCTTTGAGAAATAATTATTGCCAAGGAGCATTTAGCAAAAACACTGGTGCAATATTCTAGTTACTTGCTGCCCTGGTTTCGGCTCTATAATCTGAGTAGTTATTCCATGTACTTTATTTCTTTTGATATAGAACTTCGCCATAATTGCCCTCTTCAAGGTATGACTGGGAAGCTTTCAAAAGCATAGGTAAATGGAGACACAGCACCTGTTCTAAGGAAAAATTAAACAGAAAAAAGGGTAAAGGAGGATGTCCAGTGGTCAGGATGTTCATCACCAGCTCAAGAACAGAGACCAACAAAGGAATTCTGCACTGGGGCCCAAAACGTTGTATTTGTACATCTAAAAAGGAAAGTCGTTCTGGAAAAGTTTGAGGACATCAGCTGTTCCTAACCGGACAGGTGACTGCTACAGCAAAAGGAGCACAGTCCTCAAATTTACACTGAAAATAAAAAGGACACTTGAACTTCTACAACAGAGATCAAGTGCACAGTGGGTTCTGTATCACGTTAGGTCAGCTCTTCCATAACTGCATGAACTCAAAGATATAATAAAATGTGATTATGACCTTGAAATAAATTTTTTCACTTAAGATGCCCATTATAAAAATAGTAACACTGAAAGTGAAAAAAAAAATACAGCAAGGAGCAAGTAGTGGCCTAGTAGAAAAAGGGTCATGGTTGTGGTGGGGTGTGTGTTTTTTTTTTTCTTGCCTGACATGGATGAGTACCACAACATAAAACAAGGAACTAATTTTTCTATAGAGCTCTAGACTAGTGCACCTGAAACACTGCACTGAGTATAACATACCAAAAATATATGCAAAATAATTTTCAGATACCGACAAAGGTCAGAGAGAGTGACGAAAAAGATCAGAAGATGGAAAAACAGGCTGATTAAGTTAGTGTTTCTTGACTAGACTGCTATGATATGTGGAAGTTGCCAATACACCTTTGTAACGGAGAATAAAAAGTAATTACTTAGAGAAGTATTAAGTTTTTTCTAGCTACAAAAACATGAATGAGGAGGAAGAAGTTGTTAGACAAAAGAGTCCTTTGATAAGCATACTTCTCTGTCTGTAATAATCTCCATGGTGGAATGACAGGAACATCAAGATTTAGGTATTTCAAACCATAGTAGACAACTCACACGTAACGGCACTGCAGGTCAAACCTGCTCTTTCAGCAAACGGATTAGATTATTTAACTGACTTTCCACCTCCAACTCCTAACCCCCAAAATAAGCACAGATGTTATTCTAGCACGAGTCTTTAGAAAACAAGCGCATAAAACAAACTCTATTGTATTTCTGGCGAATAAAAGTAAAATGAGAAGTAATTAGAACGATGATGAAGTCATTAACTCAAAACAGTCACATAAATAAAACTAAAGCAAGTCTAAAAAACCTGTCTAAAATAGCTGATGAGAGTTTTCCAGAGGATGGATGAATCAGTCTGGTTTAAGTCAAAATGAAATGTGGAAATAGTTGCAAACTGTCCATGGACCAGTGTCTCACTCTAACTCTAAGCAACATCATGAAACTGGTACAAAAATTACCTTCAAGATAAATTAATTCTACGTTCATAAACAGCATACCATGCTCTCGACAGCTACACAGAAAGCCGTGGAGCTTGATGCCAAAAAAATGGATTAACGTTATTTTAAAAAGCACATTGATGAGTAATCTGTTCTTTTCTTACCATCGTACTTTATTGCACGTCTGTGTAGCGCCAAGAGGAGAACCTGCCACCATGGGGACTTGGATGGGGCTATGCTGTTTGTTCATGACAAGATCCAACTTCTCTTCCAATGATTTACAGGTAGCCTCTAGTGCCAGCAACTTCGCCTCAATGCTATCCAACCGCAGACATATTGTCTGATTAATGGAATAGAGGAACGACTAGAAAGGGGAAAATGCAAAAGAAACTGATTTTAAAGACTCACGCATTTATCTTCAGCAACATACACAGAAGGAAGCTCCAGATAAATGTGACTGGAAAATAATTCTAAAGGAACTAGCAGTGTGCCTAGTGACAAAATTCAGCCACGTACAAAACTGATGACATCCAGGAGCATTTTAGCATTCTCAAATTCTTCCAGATCTTTATTTAGATGCCAAAAGCATCCGAGCCAAACACATTTTCACCTAAGCACTTTGTTAGTATGATTTCATACACCACAAAATCATCTAAAATGACATGCCAAAGCTTTTCACTCAATACATGTAAAAACAAAGGGATTATAAATCTATGAACGCATCCTCCTGGATAAAGTTAAATAAGATTTTTCTCCTGCACAAACAGATAAATTCAGATGATTAAAGTGGAAATTACACCAACACAAATAACCTCAGAGACAATTAATGCTGCTCACTTAAGTTTTCTCCTGAACAGCAAATCAAGAAAAGCAAATAAATAAAATCTGTTTTCCTAAGCAATTTTATTCAAAAGAAAGCATATTCTACTTGGTTTCTCTTGGGAAAAACAGGCCATTAAAGGGTAATGTTACACACATTCTCCTCTGCAAACAGCAACTGTGCCATCTTGTGGCCCTCTATTACAATTTACACACCTCATCAAGCTGGTTTCCAGTCCTGCCCCCCCAGTGCTCTTTCAATACAGAGCTTCAGTTTCTAATACCATTTAAAAAATACAGAATTACATACTATTTAATGTGTGTGGCAGTAAAATACTACTCATATACTTAAGCTCCAAGATAAAAAAAAACCTTAAAGCACACTAGTGAGAACAGCAGGGGAAGTTCTGCAAGCACAGAAAAGCCTGAGCTGCTGAGCCTGAACCAGATATGGTTTAACTGCTAGGAGAAGGTTGTTAGCTTAAAATAATAATCTAAAACATCCTGAAAATATCTACAAATTGTAATACACATACATGCTCAAGTTTATCTTGTAGGTCAACTTCAGTCACTTCATCAAAAACAGTGATGTCTGAGTCACTGGAATTAATTCTGATGACATTTTATAGCCCATATAAAATTCTTGCTACTGATTTTACACTGGAGAATTAGCCAATCATCCAGATTTTTACAGTTGTGCACAAAAATCAAAAACATTTACAAGAAGGCTATGAATAATTCCAGTATTACATGTAAACAGTTTTTTACATTCTTTTCTTTTAATATATTTCCCCAAGAAAGCTAACTTCGTTAGTATTATGAATAAAAACAGGAAAAGGCATTATCATAACCTTAATAGAGGGATCCTGGCAGTTAATTTCTATCCGCTGACGTTTCAGAGAAGGTTCTACATCACCATCTGTCACTTCATGATTCGCCAATACAGCTGTCAAGACAAATAAGTATTGCCATAGTTTATAATACAAGAGGACAAGGCTCAAATTAAAAATACATTAAATGGATAAAACAAACAAAAAAAATAAAAGGCATTTATTTAATATATTGTATGTATTCTTTTACACTTAACTGGATTTTCTCTTAAATATATGACAATGGTTTACTGCTTCCCGAAAAACATTTATCCAAATTTAAGACTTTGTTTCAAATGCACTGAGGATGTAATACTCAAGCATTACCTTGGATTTTTTTATTAGGAACTCACCACGAGGTAGCAGAGTTGCTACATTAGCACGTTAGCTTTGACAGATTCCACAGGCTTCCAAATCCTCACATTTATACAAAAACATTAAAAGTACTAATGAAGTTCTGTACAAACAGGATTATACCCACTACTCAGGGTGGTAGTGGGTTATTTTTCCGCAGTATAGATGAAAAAAATCCTGCAAGCTTGCCAAAATAAATACTTACATATGCAGACCTAAAGGTAAACGTTTAGACAAAAACAGTAACAAAAGAACTGAATTTAGACCTGGAACACCCAGCTGCTAAAAATGAAGAGGTAGAGCCCTGAACAGCATCACCTGAGATGGGAATAGGTTCGAGTTCCTTCACTTTGAGCAAAGAAAGACTCGTTTAGGGTTGACCATGCACAGGTGATAATCCTGAACACCAATCTACCAGCTGGGCTAGGACAGGCAGATCCCAGCTTCTCCTCCAACTCTTTGGGAACACTTCTTTAGTAACTTTTTTGTTCTGCACCAAAAAAAAAAAAAAAAAGCTTTTGATAGCATTTCTATTTTCCATAACTGTAGGTACTGTTCTTTTAATCACCTACATATAATGGCAGCATAGGATGAATGTCTATAGCTGATCTCGACACATTTTCGCTTAGTAGGTCAAGTTCTAAGCAAGGGATATCACAATATTTCCTTGCAGAAGTGTTTTTCAATTTCACTCTCTTTTTTAATTCATACAAAGAATTTTAATAATGCATGGGAGAAGCTATTTTACAAGTGAGACAATAATTCATAATAGATGGGTGATAGTTCTCATTTGAGGGAAAGCCTAAAACATATATTCTGTCTGGAGAAAAACAAGAGATTGCAGGAGGCCATATTTCCCCAAAGTTTTCCCCACTAGTCTAACTCTGCACAAAAAAAGCCCCAAGCAAGAAAGCCTTTAAAATAAAAGTGAAATTTTAAAATGATCTGATCTAAAGGTTATTGAAGATATACAAGTTAAGCTATTGAAAACTTGGTAGGTAGTCTCAAGAAGTGCCTCCCAGAAAAAAAATCTGCAGCACTGTTTTATACTTTTAAGAAAAGCTCAACAGCGATTTCCACCTTGTTAATGGGCAACAGTAGAAAGGCTCTTTCTCATGCCACCACTACCATCTCTACTGTACCTGGGTTATCTGGAGTCAAGTCTTCCACAGCAATCTGAACAACATCTACCAAATCCTGTTCTGACATCATTCAGAACCAGGCAGCAATATCCAGTCAAACACCACTGCAGGTCCCCAAATAGGCGATTTTACAAGTCATGCAATCCTGAAAAACAGCAGCAAGAAGAGGGTTAATACAGATACACTTGATATATCAATACTGCCTTTATTTTTTCATTCTTCCTCTATAAAAGGAGACGCAGTTCCTAACAGTGACCAACCTACAAAGTGATCATCCAGTGGTATCAACCCCTGCTCTCTTCAGCAGCCTCATCAGAGAGGAAAGGACTGAACTACCTGTGTCACCCCTACAAGTAAATCTAGACTAGGACTGAGACAAGAGCTCAAGCCTTCCTTGCTGATCCACCTTTCTGCATTTTCCCAATGGGGAAAGAAAACCTTTAGCTTCAGAGCTTTGGCAGCTCATGAGTATCAAATACAAAATAAAATGTTTTCTTTTAAATTGATTTTTTTTTGTTTCAGAAGTTTTAAGAGCATACAGGACAATTCCTAAATTACAGTTTTAATTTACAAATTATTAGTTAGCTCTTGGAAGTGATCAACACTTCAGTATTTAGTCTTAATATCGCAAAAGCCTACGAAACTCCCAAGCCACATCAGACTTGCAATAACTGCATTCTGTACGGATCTGTACGCACACAACATTCTCACATGTATGAATCTTAACAGGCCTCTAAAATCTTCATAAACATTCAGTGAGAACAGGGAGCTTCCTTGTAGCTAATTACAAGTAGACTCGAAGCAAAATTTGACTTTTTTTCTTGGCTATTGAATTTGCCTGGCTTTTCTACAGCTCAATTCTGATGAAAGTATTTTCAGAATACGGACCTGATTTTAAAGCCAAAATATTTCTCAGCTCCCTTGGAACTCTCTGTCAAGACAATTTATTAGTGTTTTAGGAGAAACCTTCAGCCTGTAAAATTGAATTAAAATCACTGGAACCATTCTATCTGTGCTTTCCCACAGTTTACAAAGGGATGGACAATGAATATCAAGAGATCAGCAGACTTTTTTGCTTTTTAACCTGAAGCAAAAAACACTAGAGAGAGAATTTGAGGTTTACCAATGGAAATGGTAAGTCATCCCTTAACACGGACACTGAATCAAATGGAACTATGGATAAAGATTTTCCTCTTCCACTTGAGCACAAGAAAGCCATTGAGCCAGGCAGGTGGAGTACAAATTTTTGAAGAGACCAACACAATCTACAGAAGAATTCTGCAACTGGTCTGAGCAAGCGCTGCGAAAGCCCATCTCAAAAGGAGGACTCCCCACGTATCAGAATTGTTTACTCAAAATACCAGCACTGCCAACACGGAGTCATTTGAAATTCTGATAATGGTGAAAAAAACTGTTGGGACAGCACAGACTGTGGCAGCACGCCCAAAAAAACTGGCAATACATTAGTGCACATGGATGCCATTTTGGCAAATTAGATTTGCCATTTCTGAGAAATCCTGGTTAGCAGCCAGGCTTAACATAATAAAACAGCTGTGCTACAGTTACTGTTTCATAATGTTACATACTGTGAGCAACATTAGGAACCCTGCCCTCAACTTGAAGAAAGACATCCACCACTCCAAATACTAAAAAAGGGCAAACCAGAACAAAACTTCTACAACTTTACCTATTTAGACGATTCCAGATTTCACTGATAATTCACGTGCTGCATTTAAACCAGTTATAGCTACAAATACATTATAAAACATTCCAAAGGATTTGCAATGCTTTTGTTTAAATCCACTTTAATACTTCATGTGATGCACATAGCCTTCCAAAATTCATTATAAAAAACTCACTGAAATTAGTTAAACCTTTCTTCAACACAAACAAAAAATAATTTCACACTTCTGACACGTTTTCCACCTCTCCTGGGTCACAGTCTGAAAGTATTCAACCTCCCATCAGAAAAGCAGTACCAAAATAATCTGCCGCAGAGCCTTGAAACAAGGACATAACAACCCAGCTATGGCTGGGAGAACAGCTACTACACATACACAGCAATGCGTCTTCATAACATTAGTATTTATTTCCATTTGAACAAATTTTATTACAATTTCAGTAAGTCAGACACAGCTCATAGGCGATCAGCCAACATCCTGACGGAACACATTTCTGCCTTCCCAACAGGCAAAACAAAATATACTTCTGCTGTCACCAGATGCAGTGAGCTCCTGCACCAAAACATAAGGGGAAAACTAATAAATTTACTGTTAATATTAGATGTGTGGATTAGGAAAGCGATGCCCAAGTCAGCTACACTGGGTACTGGGACCACAGCAGCTATCCCAACTTGACCAAAATGCCCCTCTTCCAAATTCTGAATTTCAATTTATAATAGAAGACTGTAGCAGTGGTCTAACCTTGCTTTCAGAACCAAGGTTAAAAGCTCAATAAAATTTAAACTAATCTAACTCTAACCCCATTATCAGCTTTAAAAAACCTCAGTCAACAACTTCAGAAAAACCTTGCCAATATAGTTTCCACATATTTTACTCAGTGAAGTATTTACCAGCATTTCTTCACATAAAACACTCCTTTTCTTGACATTTGCTCTATGTTCCCAGACTACTTTTTTTTTTTCCCCACTCTGGCCGAAATCCTAGTCCCCATTAATTCTGAATTAAGTATATGTACATTGGCATTAAGAAGCCAATGCAGAAATATTACCTGGAACAAATATTAAGCTGTAAGAAAGAAATACTAACAGAAAGCCAGGAAGCCGAGGATAAACTACACCAGGGACACGCAATGTGCCCGCTTTTTCTCCTCCCAACCAGCATGTGGAAGTTGGATCAACAGAGCAATATTTTATAGTCAATTTGCCATTATCTGGGGGAGCGGTGGGGGAAACAGCTTATACCAGACAATGGAAAATATCTCATTAGCACAGGCACTGCAGGAGGCCTTGGCCAGCCAAGCTCCAACTGACACCAGCTGAGCTGTTCAGGAGGATCCACTGCACTCATCGCTTCTCCCGGAGGGCTTCTCTGGGGGCTGGAAGAGACTGCTTCAGCTCTTACCCAGAGCAAAAACTGAAAAAAACAGGTTACAGTGTGTATCAGAGGGATTTCCTCCCACTTCAGCCCTGGGTGCGTTCAAATCTCAGTGACCTCAAACGTTTCTAACCCTTCGGATCTCTTGCACCATGCAGCCAGTTCCCAGATCAGCTCTTCTTCTGTCCACGCTCTCCCCACCCCAGGCCAGACTATCCTTGCCTAATAAACCCACCAGAAACCCATGCCTGTTGTATTAAGCAGCACAAACTAAAAATTGTCTCACGTTTTAATCACAGTGAGTAATGGAAATAATCACACAGAGCAAACATACCGCATTAGTTCCTTCTCACCTCCCAAAGGAAAAATATTTCTTCAAAATTGGAGAAAACAGTCCTGAGATTCCAAGACAGAACAAGCATCTATATGGAGTAATAGAACTAAATCTTCTAATAATAAATACAGTCTATTTCATCACCCATCAAAACTTTAAAATATTAATTTCCCTATTTATGTATTATGAGTTGAAAGTAAAGACTAACATTCCTCCCCTTTTCTGGCTTTCCATATTCAGAAACAAAGCCAGAAAGGGGAGCAAAAAGCCCAGAGC